TTACAACGATTTCATATATTTACAAGCTAAAACTAAGTTTTAACTACTATTTACTCGAATTTTTCTATATTAACATTTCGAAATAAATAATTACTTGCTATATAAACCTATATACATATATATAGATAAAAGTGTAGGGTTTACATTCCAATGAAGACTCAGAAAATAGGAGTGTCCCTGAATATATGATAAACTAGAAAGGGTGTGGTTGAAATTTTATCTACAACAAAAATTTATTAAATATTATCATGTGGTATTACCAAGTAATAATATGTAAATAAATAAAGAAGTGGACCCACCCAAGTCAATAACTACTCCGTTCATGTAAACATGTAACTATGCACTCTTATTCCATGTTAGCCAAAAACTATGTAATTAGAGTTCACTTTCCTAAATTATATGGAAGCGATTAGACTGAATCTTTAATTCTTGTTGTTTACAATGTTCTTATCTCTTAATTCTTTTTTCCATATTTTTGAACTAGTTTATCTTCAATTGTTTAATGTGCGGTACAACTTAAACTTAATTTAATGATATAATTTATTGACTTAATAGATCATCGTCGTTAAATTAGGCATATCAAGGGTTAAAGCAACCCAAGAGTCCACAAGAAGTATAACTTTATAACAATTACAATTAAAATTATTTTAATACACTTTGTTGAAATATATTTTATTTTTTTAATAATAAACGATAATTTTATTACTAGAAAGGAGATAAATGGTACATAAAAAGTGCGGGTAGTCCATACATCAACCAAAAACAACAAAACACTTATATAACACAACTGAGAAAATACAAAAGCAAAAACCAATTATTTGGCTAGCCATAACACCAAAGAACATGATAGTTCCAAACTCCTTTGAGACCGAAGTTCAAAAAATGTTAAAAAATAAATATCTATAAAATAAAATAGTTTACAATTCAAATTTTAAAAGATAAACAAAATGATTCTTGCTATGTGCATATGAGATCGTTTTAAATTTAATTTAACTACTCATATTAATACCCTAAATTTAATAGCAAAAATTTAATCTAACGACTAAGGGTGTAATTGGAGTGACTTTTTATAAGTACTTCTAAAAATTATTTCTCATAAATACTTTTTAAAAAAATAATAATTTTTGAAACCGCTTCACCATTACCTTTACAACCACCACCGCCACTATTGATGTCGCCGCCACCACCACCGTCTCCGCCACCGCCGCCATTACCCCCACCATCACCACTACTGTCACCACCACCACTACCACTACCACCGCCACAACTGCTACCGTCACCACCACCACCACCACTACCACAGCCGCAGTCACCACCACCACCGTCATTGCCACCCACCACAAACCATCACCATCACCATCACCTTCTCCTACCACCACCTTTTACCCCCACTACAAACTAATACTTAAATTCTTTTATCTCTTTTTTATGTTTGTGATTTAATTTGGATATAAATACAAATATGTTTATTGCTTACCATTTTTTGTCTTCAAAGATTTTTGCATTTAGAAGCAATTCTCAATCCACAAATCCTCCCAAAATCTCAATCTCTCCCCTTATAGAAGTCCTTGAGAAATGAATTTCCATGAGTTTCAAAAACTACTTCTTTCAACATATCTCATTCATTTGCTTGCAACCCATATTTACTTCTATCAACCATATGCCACAAATAATTTTGTTCCAATAGAAACCTCAAAAAGCATTTTCCAACAGGGCCTATGCTTTTAGCCTTCAAGTTACCCAAAGCTAACCCACCTTTCCAATGTAACTCATCTTAGCTAAAAAAAAATAGTGTTGTCATTATTGTTTTTGTTAAGGCTAATTTAGTCATTCAAAAATTTTGCACCTATGGTGACATTTAAGAATGATATAAATATGTGATATATGTTAACCTATAGTGAGAGCGATGAATGAAACAGTATAGATATGAATGAAACTTTGCTTCATCATTCAGCCACTTGGATCATTACTTTTTTATCCTACTCAAGTGATCGTCCACCAGCACTAAGTGTGTAAATAAGAATGTTATCTATATTGAGTGATAGTAGTGTTGAACCATTAGCCATGCACCCATTTTCAACGTGCATTGTCTCGCCTTATCGACAATCCTTCACAAACTACCTAACCCTACAAACAACTCAAACACAATCAACATACTCCCTCTAACCCACCATCTCGAACTCTTGGGCAACATTGTGCCCAAACACATTTAGAAATCTAGCACCAAATCAACAAACTAGTTGATTCCCACACAAAATTCATTACTATTTTCATCCCAAAACAACACCAAATGATCATAAAAAACAACACAAACAAGAGGAGCTCTAACGAAAGTAAAATGCCACAAGACTTTGATCTAGTTGTATTGTTACATTGTGGCAAACTTACAAAGACCAAAAAATTCTCTTTCACTTTTCACGTAGACCGATTCATGCGTGTGTGTAGTTGTGAGCATGCATGCGTGAGAGAGTTTGTCTCTATGTTCGATTGTGAATGTATGGGTGTGATTGTGCGAGTGAGCATATGCAAGAGTGTTGTAATTTATTATTATTATTTCAAAATACAAATTATTTTTATGGAAATTTATATATTATGAACTTTAGTTTCAAATGTTCTGAATGTTCAAGTCTTCAACCTAGGAATCAACGTGATGGGCCACTCTTCATATATGTAATAAACTAATATACGGTTAGTTGAGATGCCAAGGTGCAACAATGGGTATAAGACTTCTACGGTGAATTGATTGAAACGCTTTATACAAAAGTGTTTACCGTTGTGTCATTTAGATGACTACTACTATTTAAGGACAGAATGGGTTGTATAAAAAATAGTGCTATGTATCCAAAATTTATAACTCAAATTTTTATCCCAAATCAAGAAGGACCATTGGATCAGTGGGTCCCATCAATTTTTTTAAATGGCCCCCTGATCCAATGGTCTTTCTTGATTTGTGAAGTAAATTTGCGTTACAAATTTGGGATACATATCATTACTCTTGTATAACACGTTTTCCGAGGGATATACAGTGATTTTCAAAAAGAGGATTTTTGTAAATCTCTTGAATGTTTGACATCAGAACTTCTTTGCATTCTCATCTCAATATTCTATTTACCTTGTTAACCGATTTGAGAACGATTAAGAGTTGTTCGAGACAACTCTATATTTACGAGTGCACGTTTGTAAAGAATCGATAGTTGAATCCTGGAGGATAGGACGCCATAACTTGTTGCATCGAGTTTCGTACTCATAGGGGCGAAAAACTATTCTTAAGGACAGTGACTACACGCTTTTATCGATAAGTTTTCTAACCATCCTTGTTTATTTTCTGTTGTAGCATTCTAGAATTGAAATTTTCATAGCAGAGAGAAAAGGAAAAAGACGATGAAAAATAATAAGGTGTTTGTTTACATTAAGGTTCGTTTGTTTAGTAGGAGAATGGTAAAAAATATAAGAAAGATAAAATTTTTAAAATTTTCATTGATTTGGTTAGTATAAAAAGGAAAATGATAGAAAAAACAATTTTTTTTTCACTTGAATTTTCTCACAAATAATTTTTTTTTCTTGTAAAAAACACAAGGAAATGTAAAAAAGTTGTGATCTATAACTAACTTTATATTTTACCCTTAATTTTCTTATAAAATATTTTATCGGTTATTAATCTTAAAAAATTTTGGTATGAATTTAATTAATCATATAATTTGGTCCAAAGATTTTTGTATTGGTGATTGTCTTGGAATTAGGTTTCGAGCCACTTTTTTAAAATTTTTTAACTTTCAATTATAATTATATATTATTTTCTTTTTTAGACCGATTTAATATAATTAAGGGTAATTTAGACAATTATAAAAATTTCTTAAACTTTATTTTCTTTCAAATAATAGAATGAAATTTTTTATTCTAACAAAATATATGCATAAAAATATATTTTCTATCATTTTCACTTTCCATAATTTTTTTTTTCTTACTAAACGGACTGTTTGTTTAGGAAGAAAAAAATGATGGAAAATAAAAATGATAGAAAATGAAGTGAAAGAAAAGAAAATAATAAAAAATATAATTTTATTTATTTGGTTAAAAAGAAAAATTTGTGGGAAAGTTTTAAAAAATTTCATTCCATTATTTGAAAGCAAAGAAAGTTATAAGAAAAACTACCCTTAATTATATTAAATCTGTCTAAAAAAGGAAAAAAAATATGTAATTATAATTGAAAGTTAAAATTTTTTAAAAAAGGGACTCAAAATCTAATTCTAAGTACAATCACCAACTTAAAAGTCTTTAGGACAAATTATATGATTAATCAAATTCATACCAAGATTTTTTAAAATTAATAACTAATAAAATATTTTTAAAAAATAAGGATAAAATAGGAAGTTATTTATAAATCACAACTTTCTTGCATTTTCATGTGTTTTTTATAAGAAAAAAAAGTTGATTATTTGCGAGAAAATTCAAGCATAAAAAAAAATTATTTTTTCTATAATATTTCTTGTCATGCTATCAAACACATAAAATTTAAAAAAAATTATCTTCTTTTCATTTTCTGCCATTATGTAGCTAAATAAACGAATCCTTAGGAAAAATAGGTGTTCAAAAGCAGGACTGTTTGGGTTCAAGAATAACCAATAAAAGGCTAAATTATAAAAGCAATCATTCCCTTAAATCCAATGGGATAAAATTCTAGGAGGGATATCAGTACAATATTGAAAACTATAAGGTTCTCATGTGAAAATATAAAAAATAACAATAGGTTTCATTGTAATCTACCTCAATCGCTGATAACGTAACCGGGGACTAGTGGTAGTTATCCAACACAAAAATCTTTCCTTCACCTCCACAAGCACGAGCAGAAGCAGAGGGTTAGGGCTTCCAAAATCTGACCCCCAACCCTCTCTCTCTCTCTCTCTCTCTAAATTTTAGGGTTTTGAAATTGCTTACCCTGTTCATTTTCTCCGCAAAGAGCCATAATATACATATATCTTTGTAAAGAAAGGAAAAAAAAAATGAGTGGACAAGTGGTTCCAGCTTCGAAGCGGAACAGTTTGGTTCAGAAACGTAATACTTCGACTCTGAAGAAATCGTCTAACCAATCGGAAAATGGAACCACCGCTACAACCAACGGAGCCCTTACAAAGCCCTCATCGCCGGGTCAATCGTAAGTTCACGCTATTTGAATTTTTGGTAATGTCACAATTTGATTTGAATTGTGAATTCTTGCGTATGAAATGAATTTTTTTTTAAAGGTCTGCTGGCGGGGAAAGAACGGTGAAGAAGCTGAGGTTATCCAAAGCCCTCACGATTCCGGAGGGGACCACCATCTCCGATGCTTGTCGGAGGATGGCAGCCCGGCGTGTTGACGCTGTTCTTTTGACTGATGCTAATGCTTTGCTTTCTGGCATTGTCACTGACAAGGTATTAACTTTGAGTGTTTTTAGTTTTCCGACTGACCAAGGGGCTGGTGCAGAAGGAAAAGTGTCGGGATAACAAAATGCCAAAGGGTAGGTCTGTAACCATTCCATTCTCAACACCTGAGATTGATGAGGAAAAACCTGCGTGATGGTTCTATGACCCTTCTTGTCAATTAATTTGGGTTTGAATTATTACCTTTTTTTGTGCTTTTTCAGTCAATCAATCTTTTTTTTTTTTGGGTCAGAAGTCAATGAATCCTTGGATTGTGTGTTTTAATGTGGTTAGGATATTGCAACTAGAGTTATAGCAGAGGAGTTGAGGCCAGAGCAGACGACAGTTTCGAAAGTTATGACTAGAAACCCCATATTCGTCACTTCAGATTCGTTGGCAATTGAGGCTCTTCAGAAGATGGTTCAGGGTGAATTCTATATTCCTGTGTTTTATTTAATTGTAGTTTCACCACGCTTAGTAGCAGGGATTTATGTATTTAGGAATGATGAGGTTATAAATCAATATGAAAAGCATGAGAAAGAAGTTTACTTGAATGCTTATGTAATTAGGAAATAAATCTTTTGATGAAAAAGGGCATAGTTAGCTACGAATTTTTTTTAGAATGAGGGGAAAATAAAAGATGCTTTGTTATTCTTTGCTAGGTGAGAAGCCATTGTGATTTGGAATCATGATTGACATATTGTACAGTTTGTATTAAAAAAAGGTTCTGGTATTCTTTGCTAGCTAGTCTCTGTTGCATACATGAAAAGGTTGAGTAAGGTTTTAGTGTGAAATTTTGGTTATTATTTAAAGTTTGGGTTTGGATTGTTGAATTATTTCTTAATCTCTGTTTTTTTGGGGCAATTTTTTTCCTCAACTCTCTCACATCATTTGTTGCACCCAACATTAAATTTTGGTTGGCCATTGGCAGTACCTTAATCAATGTAAAAGCAGCTTTTAGGATCGCATGTGTTTTTCATTAGGTTCTGATGGTGGTGTGAGCATGGATATTGGATCGTAGATACCTCAAACGCTCTAGATCTATGGTAGCACAACCCTAAACAGGGTGGATGCACAATCTAGATTGCCCGAATTTTTGATCCCCCAATATCACTCTTATCCCAAATTGTAACTTTATATTACAATTTGTTATTTGAATATTTATCATAATTGGAATATACAACCCTTAACTTTTTTAATTGACAATTATTAGTCAATATGTTGTATTGAACTACATTTTGTTTTGGATTTCTTATTGCAATTACAAATAAATATTAATTAATTACGTGTGCATTTGTAGATAATCATTTATCACGTAATAGTCGAATCGCTGGATAAGGGTTTTAAAACGAACCGTGACTCATACCATGTATTCGTATCTGTATCGTGTACTAAATCAACACACGATCCAGGTAACATTGGTTGTGAGAAGCACAAGATGCTACTTTTTTCAGAGGGGAAGTCTCTCTCATGATTTGGAACATGTCGAGAATTAGGGACCCACTTTGATGTTGCTGGCTTAGTTTTATCTGTCTATTTTTGCCGTACTATCTCCGCAGACTATAACACATGGGCTTGGCCATTAGTAGCGGCCTATGGTTTTGTCGTACCCAACTCTTGGTTGTTATTAGGCTTTTATGTGCACTTTTGGTATGTTTAGATTAGCTTTTGGAAGCAATTGTTCTGTTTTCCAAATTTGGAATTTTTACCGTAATAGATGTAAAAGACTATCATCAGACTATCAATAATTATTTACCTTTTAAGTATAACAGAATTGTGGTTAGAGTGTTGAGATAATCTAATCCATGGGAATGAAACTTAAGGGATTTTAGACAATATATATATAGGGATTTTCACTGTCACCATCTTCTTCATCGTCATCGTCATCACCACCACCATCATCTTCTTCTTCATCAGTATCATGGCCACCACAATCTTCTTCTTGTAAAAGACCTGTTGGACAAATCACTTAACCAACTCCTTGCATCAAATCCCGCCTGCGCGGAAAAAATACAGATTGAAAAGGAAAAAGCACCGTTTGTTTTTTTTTAATTTCTTTGAAATTATCAATTCCCTAATCAGAATTTCATAATTTTTTTCATTTTAATTTAGAAGCATATATTTTGTGATCAAAAGGATGGTGAGAAGATGCTTGTCTAGTTGAACAAGGTGGTTTTTATTGATTGCTAGGTTTTTTGAAAGACTGCTTTGGATTTTGCTGCGTTTGCCAACTTTAGACTAATACAATTTCAATGTCTTAGACTATTGAGGTATCTTTCCAAGCAAGCCAATGTTGAGGGCACCAAGTCTAAGATTGTCGTGATAATTCGGGCAAACTATGAAAGAGCGAGACAAATTAATGTAGGCATTAAGGAAATTAGTGTGGACTGTGGACTGTGGACAATGGACTATGAGGGATTTTAACGTTCTTATCCAATCTAAAGATGTATTCGATTTGCAGATTATGTCAATTGTTGTTTTAGTTGTCTAGATAGATTTATGGTGTAATGGAAAAAGAAGTGCTTCTTGCAGTTAATTTTATGGCTTTGAGAGGTAACCCTCAGTTTAGTACAACTTTCAGTTCATGATACTAGTGAAATTGTTAGTTCAAAATATGCAGAGTATTATATTGCACTAATGAAAATCTTGAGGCTGAGATTTCTCCAATGTAGAGGGAGTGGAGGATAGCATGCTAGGGAGAAGAGGGCAAATCACATAATTTCATGGGGTAATGGGTCTGCTTAGGGCCTTTTTTTTTTTTTTAAAAATTTTTTGTAGCCTAATACTTGGTCTTCTTTTGGTTAGTTTATTAGTGCTATTTTCAAATATTTATGTTTCTTAAGTTTATTTGGTATAGGGATATTTATGAGAATATGTTTTGTATGAAAATCCATGCCGTGCGCGCTTGGTATTTTCTCCGTTATCCTGTGATTGATCATCTTCTAGCTTCTACAGTATTTGATTTCATCAATTTGAACTGCCAGGACATTTTATTTTAACAAGATATGGCTTTGATTGATGATTGTAGTGCTAAGTCACTGGTAGTTAATGGATCTGTGTCTATTATTTTTTCTCTGTGTATTACATTAGTGATCATTTCTTCTTCTTCTCTCCCTCGCCTTCTTTTCACAGGAAAATTTCGGCACCTCCCTGTAGTTGAGAATGGTGAAGTTATTGCCTTGTTGGATATCACAAAGTGCCTTTATGATGCTATATCGAGAATGGAGAAGGCTGCAGAACAGGGTAGTGCCATTGCGGCAGCTGTTGAAGGGGTGGAACGCCAGTGGGGAAGCAATTTCTCTGGTAAGTTGACATTATATTTTCTGGCAATGTAGGATATGGGAGCAAAGGATGGTTGCTGTGGAAATATATCTCCTATTTTTTGTACTGTTCGTATAGCTTTTACATACGAACCTGTATGTTCTGTTTGTGGTTGGTTGATTTTATGCATTATGTAATGTAATTATTTTTGAACTATATATTTTATGTCTTGCTTTTAACATCATTTTGTTTATGCTCTACATACATGTGATATGCCCAGAAAACTGAATGGAAAATAGGACGATACAATTGGTTCTAATCACTCTGTGGAGTTCAAGTTTTCCAATGGATTTACTGCAGGGGTTACTGCAGTTGGCAGACTGTTTGTTTGCAAAGGGCGAAGGACTGAAATGATGTTTTTGTTGTTACTGGACAGAATTGTTGCTGCTTTTCCATGCCTCATTTTCCAGAATCTGATTATGAGCTGCACAAGGCTTGAAGTTAGAATTTGAGCATTGAATGCAGAAGATTTTCTGATTTATTTCCAATGGATTATTTTCTTTGGCGAGCCCTTTGTCATCCTTAGGTTATTTATTGGCGGATTGGTTTCAGTCTTTATGAAGGTTAAGGTCTCTCGTTGAGGAGCCATCAAAGCCTGTTTTTGGGAGTTTTTTATCCTTTCCAAGGTGGTTTGGTGGTAGAATCGTTCAAGTTGTCTCTCGTTCAACTTGCATGTAGAATCAACACGAATTCAGTGGCTTTCTTTGTGGTTTTTATGACTATTTGACTTTCCACCATCAGCCCAATCCCACTTCTGTTCAACATCGATCCTCTCCCGAGCACCATTGGTCTCACTATCTTTTCCCTTTCCTTTCATCTCTCTTCTATGTTCTAGTCCTACTTATTTTAAACCATCTTGACTATAGTGTTGAGTGGCCATAGCCTTATATGAAGCTGGTCCTTAGCCTGGATACAGGACAATTGTTGCACTGGGTAGCCTGATAGCTAGCGTAAGACCTTTGTCAGACCCTTTCTGGACATAAAATCAAATGAGAATATGCACAGAAGAGTATATTTTATAACTCAAAAATTCTGTTCACTCATTTCTTATTAGGATGCCGTGGGATTTTGATCAGGCTTTCTTATCCATAGCACTTAGGAGAGATCAACTGTCAGCCATCTTCGTGTCCACTTTGTTATTGTAAGGCATTAGCGTGTTCATTTAAGTGGACATGATCTGTTTTGGATGGGAATGGCAATTTGACTCTGGGGAAATAATGATCTCATTTTAAGGAGATCACAGTATGCATGGTCTGACTGCTACATGCCTTTTACCTGGATCAGTTTGACCCTAACCAAAGTACGATGATCAGAGAAACAGTGGACATTGCTGGGAAATGCCTAAAAACAATACCTGAAAGGATTTTTCCCCTTGGGTCTACTCCACCTCTGGGAATGCTTTTGAATATGCTAATTATCCACATTTGTTATGCACTTATGTGCTAATTCAAAATTCTCTATCTTTTGTACATTATATTTTTTCTCCTGATATTGCATGCTTCAGACACCTGAATGATTTTCTTTAGTTTGCCGTGTATGCCTTCTATGATATGTATATCTGTCAGTTTCAGATATTATTATTTACATCTAGTAGATTGTAATTATCTGTTTGGTTTTTTTTTTGTCTATTACAGCTCCTTCTGCTTTCATAGAAACACTTAGGGAGCGAATGTTCAAGCCCTCTTTGTTGAGTATTATATCAGAAAATGCCAAGTACTGACAAACTTGCCAACTGGCCTTTCTTTTTCTAAGGCTATGGTCGATATGAAGGTTGGTTTTGCCTCACTAAGTTTTTTAGTTTTTTAATGCTTGCAGGGTTGCAACAGTATCACCATCAGATCCTGTTCATGTTGCTGCTAAAAAGATGCGGGACTTGCGAGTCAATTCTGTGATTATTATGATAGGAAACAAGATACAGGGGATACTGACGTACTATTTTTTGTTTATCAAGCTCTGCATTTCATTTGTTTTTTTGCATCTTGTAATTGTGGTTTGCTTATGGTTGTTTGGTGCGGCTGTGTTGCAGTTCAAAAGATATCCTTATGCGGGTTGTGGCACATAATCTTTGTTCTGAGTTGACTCTGGTGGAAAAGGTTCTTTCAGCTCCTACGACTTTGTTCCCATTGTAGCAATTACTCTGCTAGCATAAATTAACCTGCAAATGGTTTAGACCACTTCAAGAGTCTAATATTTCTGCACATAGAATTCTATTGACCCTGCATATTAGCTTAAATTACTCTGATGATTACTTGAATTCTCGAATCTTATTCCTGGTGGAACTTTTCATATGGGCTTTTATATATTGTAAACTGTATTTCTCTTGAAATACATATACATAGGTATGCCGTATTCATTTTAAATATTCTCATGGTTATTGGGATTTTCGAACACTATTCCTTGTGGAGCTTTTAGTCTGGGTTTTAACTACCAATTAATCTATATTGTTAATTTGGCTATTGTTGGCTGCACAATGAGCAAATGGTCTGAAGCTGGTGGGAGGTAACAAGTGAAATAAGTTGATACTTTGAAGATAAGTGTGTGAGGCCGAGAGTATTGGGGCCAGATTGGTGTCCTATTAGTGAGCGGAAAGCATTATGGCTGGAGAGACCTTTTGAAGAGGAGGTGAAAGAGGAGCTTTTTTGATTGTAGTAGAGACAAATTCACCGGGAGCGGACGGTTTTTCAATGGTGGTGTTCCAAGATTGTTGGAAAATTATTTTTGATGATTTGACAAAAGTGATGAGGGAGTTTTTTAATAATGGAATAGTGAATGTGAATACTAATGCTACATATATTTGTCTGATTTCAAAAAACATAATTCTTTGAAAATTAAGGATTGTAGGTCTATTTGCTTGATGACTAAGATTATACAAGATTTTGACAAAAGTTTTAGGGGGAAGGTTAAAAGAAGTGATGGGGGATACAATTTCTAAATATCAAGGGGCTTTTGTTAGAGGATGGCAAATTACTGACATTGTTTTGGTGGCTAATGAGGTTGTTTAAAAAGTATAGATTTAAGAGAAAAGAAGGGTTGGTTTTTAAGATTGATTTTGAAAAGGCCTACAATCATGTTAATTGGGACTTTTTGGATTTTTTTAGAGGGTAAAATGTTTGGATGTAAATGGAGAATGTGGATTAAAAGGTTCTTAGAGTTGATGAATTTTTCAGTGGTGATTAATGGAAAACCGCGAGGGAGATTTAATGCTTCTAAGGGCTTAGGCGGTGAGATCTTTTGTCACCATTCTCATTCACTTAGTCGTTTAGTTGAGAGAGCTAAGGAGTATAATGTCATTGAAGGATTTAGGGTGGACTGAGATTTGGTAGAGGTTTCACACTTGCAGTTTGCAAATGAAACCATATTCTCCCTTTCAGGAGATGATGAAAAATTTTCGAATCTAGTAGAGGTTATTAAGGTTTTTAGCTTCATGTTGGGTTTGAAAATCAGTATGTCCAAGAAATTATTGGCATTAATATTCAGACAGAGATGCTAGATAGGGTTGTAGGAGGATTAAGATGTGAGGTTGAGCAATGACCTTTGAAATATTAGGGGTTGCCTTTAGGTGAGAATCCTTTATCTGTGAGTTTTTGGAATCTTGTTATTGAAAGAGTTCAAAAAAGATTAGATAGGTGGAAAAAGACATGTTTATCCAAGGGAGGGAAGCTTACACTAGTTCAGTCGGTCATGGCTATAGTATACCCATTTATTACTTGTCACTTTTTAAGATTCCTAGGATGATTGCTTTTGGAATTGAGAAGTTGTTGAGAGAGTTATTGTGGGAAGGAAGTGGGGAAGGGAGAAAGGACCATTTGGTTCGGTGGCATGTAGTGACTAGAACTAAGGAAAATGTGGGGTTGGAGATTGGAAATCTGGTTAAGAAAAATAATGTATTATTAGTAAAGTGGTTATGAAGGTTTTCAATTGAATAGCGTATGTTGTGGCATGGGGTTATCAAAAGCAAATATGGTCTTTAGCCTAATGGGTGCAATTCAAATGTGGTTGTGAAGGGTTCATCTAGATATCTTTGGAAATTTATTTACAGGGTTTACTAGAATTTTTGAGGTATGTAACAGTGGGGGTGGGGAGTGTTGAGAGAGTTTTTTAGAAAGGTGTATGGGTTTGGGATCTTTCTCGTTCTTTGTCTTATTCTTGGCCTTTTAGATTGTCTAGGTCTCAAGATGATTTCATGTCAAGCCCGTATTGTGTCTCTCTATCTCATGGGTGGTGGAATTTAATTTCTTTAGGGCATTAAAGAAAAGGGCAAGTATTGGAACTTGCATCTTTATTGTCTTTAATTGAACCTTTGTCTTTATCGGTAGGGGTGGAGGATAGAAGGATGTGGAGTACTAATTCTTTTGGTGTTTTTTCTTTCAAATCATACTTTCATACTCTGGTTGATGATCATTTAATCCCAACTTTTTAACCCCATAAGATGATTCGGAAGGTGAATGTGCCTTCTAAAGTGTAGGTTTTTGCTTGGACAGCAGCTCTTGGAAAGATTGATACTTGTGATGAGTTGCAAAAAAAGAGACCAAATTCTTGTCTTTCTCCACATAGGTGCATTTTGTGTAGGAAAACTAGTGAAATTGTGGTTTACGGGGAATTTGGATTGAACGGGTGCTATCGAGAGGATATTCCTCTCTTTTAGAGACCAACTATGGGGTATTTGGGAAATATTGTAGAGCATCCATTTTATTGGGGCAGTTTTATGGTCTGGTTGGAGAGAAATAACAGAATTTTTGAAGGAAGATAAGGATGGAGTTTCTTTGGGATAAAATATATTACTATTACTTGGCGTCCTTGTGCGCTTCGATGGCAAATGAGTTTAAGCACTTGCCTTTTTACTTTCTTACTATTGATTCGATAGTTGCTTGTAGCTTGGGGGGTTCTTGCGGTGATATGAGATTACTGTGTTGTGTTTTTATTTTGATGTAACTCCCTTCTTTTGTAACATTATGGTTGGACTTCTTGTCCACCCACTATGTAAAACTTTTATTTAATGAATGATAGTTATGTTTCTTATAAAAAAATAAAAATAAAAATAATCCCACATTCACATGTGGCATTGCGCAAAAACAAAGATGGCTAACAACTTGTATCATTTATCCAGTTTTTTTTTCTGGGTATGTAGTAGCACTTTCATGGTTATATCCTTTAGGAATAGGATTCCTCGAAGAAGCACAAGCGCTGGGCTTTTCGTGATACAAGCACAGGCATGTCATATCCTTGGCATTATGCCCTATATGATTAATGAATGTGGTTGATTAATGCTTTTTCACTTGATTGAGAAAGGTAAGTGGAGTGAGGAATTGACCTTTTTGTGAGAAGTAGTGGGGGCTTTCATGCACAGGTGCATGGTGTAGAAATAGGACAAAAATTTTTGCAAGGGACTCTAGGTTGTCCTATAAAAAATTGTTGTGGGCAAGGGTTTTGATTATTGGGTGGAAAATGTAACCTTGGGGCTTAGGTTTGAATAGTGTATCAATTTGGCTGTTAGGGTTAGAGTATTAAGATCAGGGTTAGAATTTTGTGAATATTAGTTGGATGATTGAAAGACTCATTAAAACTTCTGGCTGTGGGATGAGGTCCCAGAACTAAATAACTAAGAACAATGAGAAGAAGACCTTAGAATCTTCCTGAGGCCCTCTAGGAGTCGCACCTAGAAGATATTAATGGAGTCATGCTATATGCCTATAACTATAAGTTTGAGTTTGTTATGCTGTCAATTTCCTATGTAATTGAGTTTACAGGTACTTAGGTTTAGTTAAACTGGACATTTGATGTCAAGTCCCAATTATCTATGCTAGAGCTTTGTATGGCAGTGTCGCTTAGACTAATTTATGAGTATTGCGAGCCGCTCCACTCTTTAACATGGGTATCAGAACTGAGCTTAGGGAGGTTTTTGGATACTCTTTGTTATAATTTCATTTTTTTTTTGGTGTTGCTCACAAGCACAAATTATGTCTCCGAGTATGTTTATGGATTCTTTTGTCTCTCTCTCCACGGTCAAGTCGCCCACATCAGTATAACAGTGCCTCCTAAACTTGCATATGACCCGTATGAGCCTCTCCATTGCATATTGGTTGCGATGGATGCTTTTACAATGTAAAAGAGAAACACAATGGTTCTCATAGCGTGCTTTCAGGACATCATCTGATTTCTATAGTATAATTGAGTACATATCTCTTGGACAGTGTCACTAACTTAACATGATATCTTCTGCTTCTTTTCTTTCTCAAGGTAATGACGCCGAACCCTGAATGTGCAACATTAGAGACGTCAATCCTTGAAGCCCTGCATATAATGCATGACGGAAAATTCTTACATCTTCCTGTTGTAGACAAAGGTAAGCCTTACTTTTTAAATCAGAAAAGGGAGCATTAGCTATTGATCCGTCAGCAATTTTCTTGTTATTTTTGGCAGATGGGTATATTGCTGCTTGTGTAGATGTTCTGCAGATAACTCATGCTGCAATTTCCATGGTAAATAATTTTATTTAAGATGATGCAGTTTTTATACCAGTGATGTACTTTTTGCATAGAAATGTTGGTTTTGCCGGTTTTCTGCTTATCTTGAAAGATGAAAGCTGTTGAACTTGAATAGGGGGACAGTATTTTCTGATATAGTGTCAAAGAAGCCAAGATTAGCTATTCATTTGTCCTGGAATTCCACATGCAGTATTTGTCATTCTGTGAGCTCAGTGTGATCTTTTGATGATAGAGCTTTAATAATTGAACAAAAATTGTCTCCTTGGCGTGAAGAAAATAAGCTGTTGTCTTGAGAGGAAATTCTAAGGCGATGAAGTCCTGATTCCATTGATAGATTAGTCAAATATCATTTGCCTACTACTTTATGATCAAGTTTTTTTATTTTAGTGATAGATACGTGAGTTATACTGTCAGACACAACCAAATATTTGTCTATGTTGCTGTTGAATACTACATGTGTTCATTAAAGGGATTTTATTATTGTACTCTTAATGACTTTTCGGTGTTAATTTTTTTTTGTAAGAAACATCAATTTTGTTAATAATAAAAGGAGAAAAAGTGGTTCAAAAACAAATCATAAGTAGGCAAGTCGTCCTACCAAATGATGGTTAGCAACAAAGTCATAACCATAACAAAAGCTAGAA